AGCCGCGCGGATGAGGGTGCAAGCGAGTCGGTGGGAGTATTTGTCGGTTTCAGACGGGAAATAACTCATTGTCTGCAGTCTCAGACGAACCGTATAAGGTCGTCTGAGAATTCAGATGAGTATAAAAACGTCGTTTTAAAATTCAGATGAGATTCAAGTACATGTCTATGCCTTCAGATGAACAATAAAAAAAGCATCTGAAATAAAAAAGATCATACTAAAAATCGCTAAAAATGTAGACCTTGGCGACAGGGCGCCCGCTGCCTATAGATGGTGCACGCACGGCTTACGAGGTAATGCGCGCTTGCCTCCAGGTGGCGCACGTGCTGCCTACTCGTAACGTGCGGTTGCCACTGGGTAGCGCGAGCGCTGCCTACATGTGGTGCGCGCTGCCTTCAGGTGGCACACGACTGCCTACGGATGGCGTGCGCGCCACTGTCAGGCTAGGGCAAAAAGAAGGGAATGGAGACTTGCAGGTCGGCAAACGAGTTGGCGAGGGAGGTAGATGGGCTATACCAATACTAGGCTAGGAACGTTCCTACTCTAGATACAGGCACCTAGACTCATTTTTGGGCTGTCTGATTCGTCAGACTTTGTACACATATTTTGTCTGATCAATCAGACTTGGCAAAAAAAAAAAAAACATGAAATTTTAGAGTTCAATTGTATAAAATTCTGATAAAGAAAGTACACATCAGTAATGAAGCTAATTGATCAGCCTAAAACGAGGAGATAACCTCGCCACAATGCTGCTGTCACTGTTTCAGCGTGACTGACACGACAAATTTGTACTTCAAGCGGTAATCCTGACTGTTAGGTCGGAGTAGGTACCCGCTAAAACGCTCGTGGGATAAGAGTACATTCGTAAAAAAAACTCTGAAATTTCAGAGTTAGCCTAAAAAAAAATCTGAAACTTTCGGAGTTGAGGCCCTAAAAAACTCTGAAATTTATGGAGTGCACTCTAAAAAAATCTGAAACTTTTGAGTTTTTCTGAGAAATCTCTATAACTTCTGTGTATCAAATCTCTATAACTTCTGTAGTGGGTCTAGCCTTAAGGGGTACACATACTTTCTCGACATTCTCTTGTACCACCTTTCCTTGACCTAATCACAACTCCCGTAATCTATCACTCAGTTTTGTTCCTGCCCGACTTTTTTGCCCTACCCTGCCCTGCCCTGACCTCTCGCACTACCCTGCCCTGCCCTGCCCTGCCGCGCGCAGCCCGTACCGCCCGCGCGCAGCCCGTACAGCCTGCGCAAGGCCCGCGAGCAGCCCGTACAGCCCATGTCAGGCCCGCGCACAGCCCGTACAGCCCTCGCCAGGCCCGCGCGCACCTGTCCTGCCGCCCGCGCACCTGCACTGCCTCCGCGCTTCGTCGGCGCACTGTCCCTGCTGCCCTGCTACCGCCTGTACTGCTGTTGCTGCACTGCTATTGTTGCTAAGCTGCTGCTGCTATTCAGCTGCTGCTGCTGCCTGTGCTGCTTCTGCTGTTGCACTACTACTACTGTCCTGCACCGTGTTGTGCCCGCACGCGCGGCTGCCCTGCCCTGCCTGCATGCGTGAGCCCTGCCCCGTGCACCTGCCCTGCTCCGCGCTGTTTCTCTGCACGCGCGGCTGTCATGCCCTGCTCTGCGCTATTGCCCTACACGCGCGGCTGCCTTGCCCTGCCCCGCGCTGTTGCCCTGCTCGTCTCGCACCACCCTGCTCTGCTATCTATAGCTACCCTCAGCATTCTCACCTTCGATCCTGAGGGCTGTTCGATCCAGTTTGATACATGGCTCGGCGACTTACAGCTGTACCTACTGAGCGATTCTAAAGAGGGCGTCCCATTGTTTGATCACATGTCTGGAGCCTCTCTCGCTCCTCCCGACACAGCTAACAGTGCGACCCGCTCACAGTGGCTTACCCATGACGCTACTGCTCTCCTAGCCGTTGGCAACCACTTGCCATTAGCCGAACACGCTCACTCTGACCAGCTCAAGACTGCTAAAGCCCTGTTCGACGCTGTAGTCGCTCGTTACTCCTCCTCTGCCACTGCTGCTCTCGACCGCCTTATACCGCCCTACCTTTTTCCCGAGCTATCTGCCTTTGCCACAGTCGACGACCTCATCACCCACCTTCGCACTAGCGACACTTGCTACCGCGCCGCGCTGCCCTTCGAGTTTCTAGACAAGAACCCGCCCCCGATGTACATTACTCTCTACTTCATAGTCACATGCCTCCCTGACTCTCTTCGCGCAGTCAGGGACCACTATCTCGCCCTCGACCCCACATACCTCGCTGTCGACCTGCTCGAGAAGCACCTCCTTGCAGCTGAGACTAGCATAGTCGCTGTAGGTGCACTTGGCACTCCTCGCACTCCCTTCTTTGAGGGGTGTTCCCCCTCCCCCCTTGCCCCCTCTGTTGCTTCTGCTGCTGCTATTAACTTCCATGGTGCTGAGGAGGTCGAGGCTGCATCTGCTCCTTGTGGGAGGTGCCGCGGCGGCAAGGGCAAGGGAGGCAAGAGTGGTGGGGGTGGCGGCGGTGGAGGCTGTGGTGGAGACGGTGGAGGCGTTGGAGGTGGCGGTGGTGGCGGAGGGAGTGGTGGTGGGAGTGGAGGCTTCGGTGGCGGCGGTGATAGTAGCGGTGGGAGTGGTGGCGGCGGTGGTAGCGGCAGTGGGAGGCGGCGGTGGTGACGGTAGTGGGAGTGGTGGCGGCGGCAGTGGTGGCGGTCGGGGTGGAGACTTTTAGAGGGGAGGTTCTGGCGGTGGCCAGAGGCAGCAGCAGCAGCGTCCGCGCGAGACCCTTACGCCCCAGCAGCTTCGTGAGTGGTTTGCTCACCATGGGGCGTCTAGGGGTAGTGTTCGCTGTTTGTACGTCATTCGCACAGGTGACCGCGCTGGTCAGACATGCAGGAAGTATTACACACGGCACCGCTGCTTCTCCCGCCTTGACGACGCTTGGCGCGCACAGTTTGACGACGAGGCAGAGCTCCCCCGCTGGGCAGAGCTGCTTAGGTCTGGTGTTGATATCTTTGCTCTTGACTATGATGCTATCCTTGCTGCCATGTATGCTTTGACTATTAGTGCTGAGGGTGACTGTTACCTGTGTGTGCTGCCAACCGCGGTATAGAGGCTGCTGCTCTAGGTGCTAGTGAGTCTGCTCTCTCTGGTACTGTGCCTGCTGAGGCCTTGCACACCTTCACGCTTGACTCAGGTGCTTCCCGCTGTTTCTTTCGCGACAGTACCACAGTCACACCACTCCCTACACATGTTGCAGTCAGACTGGCTGACCCCTCAGGGGGCCCAGTTCTTGCACGTTCCACCACTGTTCTCCCGTGTCCGGCGGTTCCGTCTGGCTCACTGTCAGGTCTTCACCTCCCCTCGTTCTCTACGAACTTGGTGAGTACCGCTGCCCTCCAGGATGCGATGGTCACTACCACCACTACTGGCGGACAGCGTGTGGCGATCTGCACGTGTACACGGACGGGCCGCCACCTGGCCACGTTCACCCGTCGGCCTGGGTCGAGCCTGTACACACTGACTACTGAGCCTCCCCAGGTAGCTGCGTCTGGTCAGGTGTCCGCGTCAGGTCAGGTAGCAGCCCCCTGCTCGTGTCGCCACCTCTCACACCAAACTCTCCTCTGGCACCACCGCCTAGGTCACCCCTCCTTGCCACGCCTCCGTAGCATGCACTCTCGCCTCCTTGTCTCTGGTCTTCCCAGGTCTCTGCCCCCCCTCCCGCGCTCGCCTGCCCCGCCCTGCCTTCCTTGCGTCGAGGGGCGGCAGCGCGCCGCTTCTCACTCCTCCTCGTTTCCCCCGACAGAGGCTTCCCTGCGGACTCTCCACATGGACGTGTGGGGCCCAGCCCGCGTCCGTGGACTGGACCGCGAGCGGTATTTTCTGCTGGTTGTTGACGACTACACGTATTACACCATGGTCATCCCCTTGCACAGCAAGAAGGAGGTCCCTGATATCTTCATCCCTTGGATCCGTGCTGCCCGTCTCCAGCTTCGAGAGCAGTTCCACACGGACCTTCCTGTCCTGCGTTTGCACTCTGATAGAGGTGGTGAGTTTTCCTCCGACCTCTTGCGGGACTTTTGTCGTGGGGAGGGCATCCTCCAGTCGTTCACGGTTCCGACCTCCCCGCAGCAGAATGGGGTTGCTGAGCGCCACATTGGCCTAGTCATGGAGGTGGCTCGTACCTCCATGATCCATGCGGCTGCTCCCCATTTTCTGTGGCCGTTTGCGGTCCGGTACGCTGCACATCAGCTCAACCTCTGGCCCCGTGTCTCCTTGCCGAAGACCTCGCCCACACTGCGTTGGATGGGGGAGGTTGGCGATGCGTCGGTGTTACGTGTCTGGGGCGCTCGTGTTTTTGTCTGCGATACCTCCGCGGACAAGCTCTCCTCCCGCGCCATTCCCTGTGTCTTCCTTGGCTTCCCCCCTGACGCGTCTGGCTGGCAGTTTTACCACCCCACATCGCGCTGTGTCCTATCCTCTCATGACGTTACGTTTGACAAGTCGGTTCCCTTTTACCGTCTCTTCCCCTACCGCACTGCCCCTCTCCCCCCCCCCCCCCCCCCCCCCCCCCGCCGCTCTTCCTCGCTCCAGGTCCCCCTCCGGTAGACCCCCTCCCCCCCTCAGGGTCCTGCTCCTTCAGGTGTGTCTCAGGTAGAACCACTCCCCTTGGTTGAGCCTGTTGAGGTGACTGGTGACACAGGTGCTGCTGGGAATGGTGCTGCTCGGGGTGCTGCGTCTGAGGGTGCTGAGCCTGCGGGTGCGGAGCCTGGGGGTGCTGAGCCTGCGGGTGCGGAGCCTAGGGGTGCTGAGCCTGAGCGTGCGGAGCCTGGGGGTGCTGAGCCTACGGGTGCGAAGCCTGGGGTTGCTGAGTCTGGGGGTGTTGAGCCTCGGGGTGTTGAGCCTAGGGGTGCTGCGTCTGCTGGAGGTCCTACGGGTGCCTTGTCGCGCTGGTCTACCCGGCGGGAGCCTTTCTCACCATAGCAGCTGCGCGAGTGGTATTCACAACGCACCCACCTTCGGAGTGGCGCTGTTGGAGCTGGAGACCCTGCCGCTGGAGCCCATGCTGCTGGAGACACTAGAGCTGGAGGTACCGGATGAGCTGGAGGTGCTGTTCCTGGAGGTGCTCGTACTGGAGGTACTGGAGCTGCCGGAGCTGGTGGTGCTGCGGGCACTGGAGCTGGAGGAGCTGGAGCTAGTGACCATGGAGCTGGAGGTGCTGGAGCTGGAGGCGCTGGAGCTGGAGACGCTGGAGCTGGAGGCGCTGACGTAGGAGCTAGAGGCGCTGGTGCTGGAGGCACTGGAGCTGGAGGTTCTGGAGCTGCTGGAGGCGCTGGAGCTGCTGGTACTCGTACTGGAGGTGCTGGTGCTGGAGGAGCTGGTGCTGGTGGTACTGCACAGCCGCGACTGTTCTTCGCTCCGCCGTCACCGTCGTCTCTGCCACCGCCTGACTCGTGATGTCCCGTGATGAAGTCGAGGCTAACGACCTGCCATGGCTGCTCCAGTACGGGTAGAGGCTGAAGTAACCCTGCTTTTTTCTGCTTGCTACTCTTCATCCGCTGGCACGTGTCGCAGGAGGTGACGAACTGCTGCACGTCTGCTGCCATCCTGGGCCAGTAAAAATACTTTTCTATTCCCGGTAACGTCTTGTTGCTCCCGAAGTGTCCCGCGTATGGTACGTCATGAAACTCCTCCAATAGGATCTGCCGTAGCGGGGCGTAGTTCGGTACCCAAATCTTTCCTGAACCCTTCCTTACCGCTAAGTCTTTCTCCCACTGTAACAACTTCTGTTTCTCTGCCGTTGCAATCTCTACGTCCACGGAGTACCCATGTTGGAATAGACCCTTGAGCAGAGGGTTCATCCCATCGAGCTGAATGCTTGCTACATGACCTGGGCTGCTCAATCAACGCGTCAGCTTTGTTGTGTAGCCCAGGTTTGTAGACGATGTCGTAGTGGAAGTGGGTCTCCAAGAAATCCACCCACCGCACCTGTCGTCGTGAGAGCGCCAGCTTCGACTTCAGGTATTTGAGGCTGCAGTGGTCAGTATAGACTGTAGTTTTGGCTCCCTCTAGGTAACACCTCCATGCCTTGAAGGCTACGACTATGGCTAAGGCTTCCTTGTCGTGAATGGGGTAGTTCAGTTATGCTCCGTGTAGCTTCTTACTGAGGTAGGTGATAGGCTGTAAATTGTGTCCATAATCATGAATCAGTACTGCTCTGACTGCTTGGTCACTAGCGTCTGCTTCAACTACTTAATCCTTGTCTGGGTCCGGTAGGATGAGTACTGGCGCTGTGGTCAGTGCTGTCTGTAGCTGTTCCATGGCTTGCTGATGAGGAGTATCCCATTTGAAGGGCGTATCCTTTTTCAGTAGGTCGGTCAGTGGTGCTGCTATCTTAGCGTACTACGGCACAAACCTGTTGTAGTAGTTGGCAAAGCCGAGGAACTGCTACGTGCAACTTTCCATTTCTTAATGGCTTCGATGTTCCGCAGGTCCACGTGTATGCCCTCGGCACTCACCATGTGCCCGAGAAATTGCACCTTCTTCAGTGCGAAGTCGCTATATGACAGCTTCACGTAGAACTTATTTTTCCGCAGGATCTCGAACACCTTTCGCAGATGCTCCACGTGCTCCTTCATGTTCTTGGAGTAGATGAGGATATCGTCCAGGTACACCACTACGCACTCGTCCAGCAGGGGCCGAAGGATATGGTTCATTTCTGCCGGGAACGTCGTTGGTGCATTGCAGAGTCCAAACGGCATCACCAAGTATACGTAGGAGCCGTATCTCGTTAGGAACACCGTCTTGTGGATCGAGTTGTTCGCCATCTTGATCTGCCAGTAACCCGACCGTAGGTCCAGCTTCGAGAACATTGTTGCACCACGCAGTTGGTCCAGTAGGTCGTCTATGCGCGGTATGGGGTATTTGTTTTTGACTGTCTGTATGTTCAGTGAGCGATAGTCGATGCACATCCGTAAACTGCCGTCTGGTTTTGGGGTGAAGAGAACTGGTGCACCATAGGGAGAGGTGGATGGGCGGATCAGTTGTCTGTCCAGTAAATACTCTATCTGCTTCTTCATGTCTGTCAGTTCTGTCGGACTCAGTCAATATGGTGCACGTGAGACGGGTTTCGCACCTGGTTCCTCCACGATCTCGTGCTCATGGGTGCGTGCTGGAGGTACGCCTGCGGGTAGGTCGTCCGGCATTATCTCCTTGTACTGTTCCAAGATCCCCTTTACTGTTGCAGGTAGTTTCGAAATCGGCTTCTCCTCTTGTGCTGCTGCCATGACCAGTGCTAGGTAACCCGTGTTACTCTCGTTCACTGTCCGTTCGAACCGTGCTAGTGTCGTTTCAGGAACATCCCCTGTATCCGTCCAGCTTCGTAGCTCTATCCGCTTCCCGTTGTTATAGATGCCCACCTTACTGTCGCCCCAAGATGAAATCTAACCCTTTGATGTTGGTGACTGGTAGCTTCGGCTTCCACCTCAACGCACCTATATACAGCTGTAGTGATGCTTCGCCGTGGATGGGAAGCTTCGTACCGTCCACCATCGTTACTGAAAATTGGGTATCCACTGCCTTCTCTCCAATTTTCTCCAATGTTCCGCGGTCACACACCGAGTGGGATGCACCGCTGTCCACCAGTGCCTGGAGGCGTCGCCCATTGCATAACACCTCGAGGAGTAGTGGTTTCTGCTGTGCTGAGTAGCCAAAGAGGGTCTCATTAATAGGATCATAGGGTACATCAAGATGAATACCTTCCCTATTTCCTATACCTGTCTCAACACTTTTGACTTCCAACTTCACCTGGGGGGTAGGAGGATTTTCCCGAGGCTTGTATAATTTTTCACGGGCCTGGATTTGTCCTCTAAGCCTTTGCAGCTGTGTAGGCTTCACCTGTGGGCAATGGGGAGAATATTAACTCCACGGAGCCTTAACACGGTGCTGCGGGGAGAGAATATTAACTCCACGGAACGCACGACCCTTTTCTACGCTCCGTAGTACTTTGCCCAACTTCTCAGGTACCTGAATAATTTTTAGTGGCTTTTTCTTGGCCTCTAAATCTCTTCTAAAATTTTCAAAGGCTTAAAAACAATGGGAAGCAATATTTTTCGTTGGAGTATCTCTATAGGATATTAAAAAAAAAAAACTTATTTTCGTGGGTGTTCGGCTGGAGTTTCCCGGTCGGTGCAGAGTCTTTTTTCGCGGAGCCTCCATTCGCCTCGGCGATTTCCCCTGATGCCGGCCGGTCGTGACGTTTTAAATTCGCGCCATTATTTTCTCCTTTTTTCACCTGCTCCGAAGTCGCCACGTTGTCGCCCTTTTTTTTTTTATCTTTACGCGATCGCCAGGTCGATCCGCGGCTACTGGCGATTCCCGTTTTTTTACTTCGGGGGTGCTCAACTGTTGCCGCCCAGCATTGCTGCACGTGCTTTCTTCATTTTGTAGCACGACAAGATTTGATGTCTTGCTGCGCCGCAAAATTCATATTTTGTCGGTTGTTGCTTCGTGTTAAACTTGTCGATATCCATCGGTTCGGCACATGTGGGGGTGGCCAATCGCTTCGGGCCAAATGTACGGTTTGACCCGTAGCGTCGTGTTTTGGGTTGACCTCGCGTCAACGCGTCGTGCCTTTTGGCTGCCCGTACGATGTCGCAGTAGCTACTGTTGTTCGCCGAAATCACCTGCCGTTGAATCTCTATTTTTATTCCTTCGGTGTACGCCTGGATTTTTTCGCCTTCGGTCAGGTCGGTGATTTGGTTGAACGGTAACTCCATCTGCTGCGTGTACAGTGCTACGCTGCTGTACTGTTTGTATCGGTGAATCTGCTACCGCGCCATGTAGACTGAGTTGATTGGTTCGAAGCGTTCGATAAGATCCTCTCGAAACTGTAACCACGTTTTCTCCCCGCGGGCCGTGTCAGAATAGTAAATCCGCTCGGGTGCTGGTCCCCGCAACAGTGTCGCTGCGAGCCGAATCCTTGCTGCGTCGTGTCTCGGGGGTCGAACAGCCAATGGCCTCGAAATAAATTTCGAGGGTCGCCACAAAACGTCGAACGTCAGATCCTTTCGCACTTGGATCGAACGCTTCGGGGAGCCTCGGGCGAGCTGCTTCAAGGTTCGGCGTCGGTGGTGCCATCGGTCCGTGAAATGTCGGTGTCACCACTGCTGCTGCTTCCGTCGCTGCTACGTTCATTGCTACTGCGGTGGCGGCTATTGGTTGGTGTGTCAAGAAGGCTTCGATTCGCCGGACCGCTGCCTGCGTCTGTTCCACGTCGGAGCGAAGGTTGGCGATGTCGTACGTCGTCGCGTAATTGTCGCCTTGGCCCTCCATGCCTGACATTGCGTGTTAAAAAAAAACAAAAACGAGGAGCGAAAAACACGGAACCGGTTTTACGTACCCAAAATCGGTGTTTAACAAGCGTCGCCCCCGCGGTTTTTTTAAGAGTCGGTGTTAGCGGCCGAAAAACTGTCGCGTGTAAACGGGCTCTGATTACCAAGTGTGAGGATCTAGGATCGAGCTCAGAAAAGAGAGATTGAATTGAATGATCACCTGGGTACAACACGAGGCTCGACACAAGGCCCAGTAACCAGGTGTTACGTGAAGGTTCCGAGGGTCGCGAAGCGTCCCGAACAGACCCTTCTCGAATTCGGTAGAAGGCAATTCGGTGGCAACCGAAAAGCCCAGAATTCGGTGTACGCAACCTAGCTCGGTGCTATAACTATAATAAAATATAGGAAAACACATAGCCTAGGAAATCAAGCAATTCATGCATGCACAAAATTATCCTATGCTAGAAATAGCATAATTAAGTAAAAAGCAAGCAAGCATAGCTGGCATAAGCCGTCGTACTCTTACAGGCAGTGCCTCAGTGTCAGCAGTGGCAAAAACCAAGTCGTACACGAGAATGTAGAACGGCGGCAGCGAAGTGTCGGTGCGCAGAAACAGCGACGGGTCAGCAGTCGAAGGAGCAAACCTAAGAGCCGCAAGTGTCGTCCTCAGTGTGTCGTGCCACTCGCGAGGCGCCTGGCGGAGACCGTAGACTGGCCGCCGGAGGCTCCACTGGGTACCTACAGGAAACGACCCAGTGAAGCCAAGTGGGCGGCGCAGCCAGATCTCCTCGTGCAGGCTGCCCTGTAAAAAAGCAGTGCTGAAGTCAAGAGAGTGAAGCTCGTAGTCACGTTGAGCGGCAACGTGCAGCAGCACCCGAAGAGTGGCCATCTTCGGGGTAGGGGAGAAGGTCTGGAAGAAGTAAACTCTCTGTCGCTGAATAAAGCCTCGTTCAGCGTAACGAGCCTTGAAGACAGGCGGAAAACCCGGCGGCCGCTTCACCCTGAAGATCCACATGCCATCGACTATGTTCGCCCCAGGAGGGGGAACTGCGTCGACGTAAGTGTCTGTGGACTTCCAGGATGCCATCTCTGCGCACATGGCTGTCTGCCACTGAGTGGAGTACGGACCCATAATCACCTCTGCGTAAGAGCGCGCGATCAGGATGTCTGGTGCATCCGGGTCTCCCTCAGGTGCAAGCAGCATGGCCATGAGATGACGTAAAGCAGCTGCAAGACACTCAAAGTCCTCCTGCCTGTCCTCAAGGACGTCCGTGCCGAGAGCACACTCACCCCCGACGGACGGAGGACAAACAGACTCAGACTCAGCAACAAGACTAGCGGCGTAGTCGAGACGACACGCAGCAGCAAAGTCAACAAGCTCAACAACTAAGGCAGCCGTAGCAGTAGACTCAAACGAAGGGTCAGTGACAACAGTGGCTAGGAGACACGTGATAGTAGGGCTGGCAGCATGAATAAAGTCAAACTCAGGGTCCGGAACGTGCGGAAGAGAGGACGCAGGAGGAGACGGCAGGGGGACACGCTGTGGAACAGAGGAAGGACGAAGTGTCATAGTGTGAGTGCCGGGGACAGGAGGAGGATGTGGGCAAGGAACATGGTGACCAGTGCAAACAACACGAACAGGGGGGGCAGTACGAGTCGCAGGCTCATGACGCTCTGTAAGAGAGTCCGCCTGCTCAGTGTAAGGAGAAGGAGCAGGCGTTGGGGAGTCTGGCTGTAACTGTTGCTTCGACTGGTCAGGCGGTGGTCACAGTAAGGGAGGAGTAATGTGAGAGTACGACGGCTTTGCTGTGATTTACTAGCTTGATTCTGCTTTATGCATCATCTAGCTTAGTTTTTTTTTGCTTTGCTTGCTTTTGCTAGATTTCCTAGGTCCGTTGCCTTTACTATATTATATTAGTTATAGGCACCGAACTAGGTTGAGTGCACCGGATTCTTGGCTTTTCGGTTGCCACCGAATTGCCTTTTACCGAATTCGGGACGCTTCGCGACCCGCGGAACCTTCTAGTAACACCAGGGTTACTGCCTTTGTGTCAAGCCTATATATAGCCTCGCCTTGTACCCAGGTGAATCATTCAATAGATTTATCTTTCCTGAACCAGATCCTCACAAGTAAGACCAGTAGAAGACGGGAGGCTAAGAACCTGGCGAAGCACGGAGTCAGGCGGTGGCAGAGACGACGGTGATGGCGGAGCGAAGAACAGTCGCCGCTGTGCAGTACCACCAGCACCAACACCGCCAGTGCCTCTAGCACTAGTACCTACGGCTCCAACGTCTCCAGCACTGGTACCTCCAGCTCAAGCGCCTCAAGCACTAGTACCTCCAGCACCAGCACCTCCAGCACGAGTACCACCAGCTCCAGCGCCTCCAGCACCAGCACCTCCAGCACCAGTACCACTAGCTCCAGCGCCTCCAGCACCAGCACCTCCAGCACCAGTACCACTAGTAGCAGGGCCTACAGTGCCAGCAGCGCCACTCCGAAGGCGGGTGCGCCGAGCAAACTACTCGTGCAGCTGCTGTGGTGAGAGAGGCTCCCGCCGGAGAGATTGCTATGGCGAGGGACCCGTAGGATCTCCAGCAGACGCAGTACCCCAAGGCTCAACACCCCCAGACTCAGTACCATCTAGCTCGGCACCCCTAGGCTCAACACCCCCAGGCTTCGGACCCTCAGGCTCAGCACCCCCAGGCTCTGCACCCTCAGGCTCAGCACCCCCAGGCTCCGCACGCTCAGGCTCTGCACCCCCAGGCTCCACACCCTCAGGCTCAGCAGCCCCAGACCCAGCACCCCTAGCAGCACAACCCCTAGTAGCACCAGAGTCGACAGCAAGGCTGCAGGGGCGGCGAAGACGGTCAAGGTGGAAAACCCGGGGGTTTTCCAAGTGTGGTGAGCGGCGGGGGGCCGCCGCGTCGTCAGCAGCGTCACCCCCCTCAGCTGGGCTAGAGGTGTCGGAAGTGACCTCAAGAGGCTCAGCCATGGGGAGTGGGTCTACCTAAGACACACCGACCCTGAGGGGGGAGGGGGTCTACCGGAGGGGGACCTGGAGCGAGGAAGAGCGGCGGGGGGGGGGGGGGGGGGGGGGGGGGGGGAGAGGGGCAGTGCGGTAGGGAAAGAGACGGTAAAAGGGAACCGACTCGTCAAACGTGATGTCCTGAGAGGACAGGACACGGCACGTGGTGGGGAGGTAAAACTCCCAGCCAAGCGCGTCAGTGGAAAAGCCAAGGAAGATATAGGGAATGGCGCGGGAGGAGAGCTTGTCCGCGGAGGTATCGCGGACAAAGGCACGAGCGCCACAGATCCGGAACACCGACGCATTGCCACCCTCCCCCGTCCATCGCAGTGTCGGCGAGGTCTCCGGCAAGGAGACACGGGGCCAGAGGTTGAGCTGATGTGCAGCGTACCGGACCGCAAACGGCCACAAAAAATGGGGAGCAGCCGCATGGATCATGGAGGTACGAGCCACCTCCATGGCAGAGACCTGGGAAGACCAGAGACAAGGAGGCGGGAGTGTATGCTACAGAGGCGTGGCAGCGCGGGGTGACCAAGACGGTGGTGCCAGAGGAGAGTCTGGTGCGAGAGGAGGCGACACGAACAGGGGGCTGCTACTTGACCTGACACGGACACCTGATTAGACGCAGCCACCTGAGCAGGCTCAGTAGTCAGTGTGTACAGACTCGACCCAGGCCGACGGGTGAACGTGGCCAGGTGACGGCCCGTCCGTGTACACGTATAGATCGCCACATGCTGACCCCCAGGAGTGTTGGTAGTGACCATCGCATCTTGGATGGCAGCGGTACTCACCAAGTTCGTAGAGAACGAAGGGAGGTGAAGACCTGACTGCGAGTCAGACGGAACCGTGGGACACATGAGAATAGTGGAGGAACGTGCAAGAGGCGGCCCCCTTAAGGGGTCAGCCAAAGAGAGTGCAACAGGTGCAAGGAGTGGTGTGACTGTGGTACCGCCGCGAAAGAAACAGCGGGAAGCACCTGAGTCAAGCATGAAGGTGTGCAAGGCCTTAGCAGGCGCAGTACCAGAGAGAGCAGACTCACTAGCACTTAGAGCAGCAGCATCTAACCTGGGTCGGGCGGCACACACAGGTAACAGTCACCCTCAGCACTAACAGTCAAAGCATACATGGCAGCAAGGATAGCATCAAAGTCAATAGCAAATATATACACATTGTTCCTAAGCAGCTCTAGCCAGCGGGGGAGCTCAGCCTCGTCGTTAAATTCAGCGCGCCAGGGGTCATCAAGACGGGAGAAGCATCGGTACTCTGAGTGACCAACCTTCCCGAGTGTCTGACCAGCCCGATCACCTGTGCGAATGATGTACGAGCAGCGAACAGTACCCCAGACGCCCCACGCTGAGCAAACCACTCACGAAGCTGCTGGGGCATAAGGGTCTCACGCGGACGTTACTGCTGCTGCCACTGGCCACCACCGGAACCTCCTCTTTGAACGGCTCCACCCCGACCGCCACGACCGCCGCCGCCACCACTCCGACTGCTGCCACCACCGCCACCACCACTCCCACCACCACCACCTCCACCGCCACCTCCACCGCCTCCACCGCCTCCACCACTGCCTCCACCGCCGCCACCCCCACCACTCTTGCCTCCCTTGCCCTTGCCGCTGCGGCGCCTCCCACTAGGAGCGGACGCAGCCCCGACCTCCTCAGTATGAAGAAAGTCAACAGCAGCAGCAGAAGCAACAGAGGGGGCAAGGGGGGAGGGGGAACACCCCTCAAAGAAGGGAGTTTGAGGAGTGCCACGAGAAGCACCTACATCGACGATGCTAGTCTCAGCTGCAAGGAGGTGCTTCTCGAGCAGGTCGACAGTGAGGTCTGTGGGGTCGAGGGCGAGAAAGTGGTCCCTGACTGAGCGAAGAGAGTCAGGGAGGCGGGTGACGAGGATGTAGAGAGTGATTTACATGGGGGGGGGGGGGTTCTTGTCTAGAAACTCGGAGGGCAGCGCGGCGCGGTAGCGAGTGTCGCTAGTGCGAAGGTGGGTGATGGTTGGCGACTGTGGGAAAGGCTGAGAGCTCGGGAAAAAGGTAGGGGAGAGAGAGCAGCGGTGGCAGGGGAGGAGTAACGAGCAACTACAGCGTTGAACAATGCTTGTTCTAGTGCTGGCCAAAGTGAGCGCGTTCGGCTAACGGCAGGTGGTTGCGAACGGCGAGGCGAGCAGTAGCGTCACGGGTAAGCCACTGTGAGCGAGTTGCACTGTCAGCTGTGTCAAAAGGAGCGAGAGAGGTCCCAGACGTGTGGTCAAACAAGGAGACGCCGTCCCTAGACTCGCTCTGTAGGTACAGCTGTAAGTCGTCTAGCCAGGTCTCAAACTGGATCGGACGGCCCTCAGAATCGAAGGTGAGAACACTGAGAGAAGCCATAGCGGGCAGAGCAGGGTGGCGCGCGACCAGCAGGGCAGCACGCAGGCAAGGCAGAGCAGCGCGCAGGCGGCAGGACAACGCGACGGGTAGGGCGGCCCGCAGGGACTAGGGAAGCACGCAAGGCAGGGCGGGGTGGCGCACGGCCAGGGAAGGGCGGCGCGCGACGAGAGCAGGGCGGCGCGCTGCCAGCAGGGTGACGCGCGGGCAGGGAAGGGCGGCGCACGGGCAGCAGGGCGGCGTGCGGGCAGGGCAGGGTAGCGCGGCTGCCAGCAGGGTAGCGTGCGGGCAGAGAGGGCAGCGTGCGGGCCCTAGAGCGGCGTGACGCGCGGCCAGCAGGGCGGCGCGACGGGCAGTAGGGTGACGCGCGCGGCTAGCAGTGCGGCGCGATGGGCAGCAGGGCGGCGCGATGTGCATTGCGTTGTACCCCTTATGGGCTACCCCACTACAGCCTACACAACAAGAGTATCATAACATTTTGACAGGCCCCTGGCCGATATGATGGGGAGGAAGTGGAGGAGTGGGTGGCAGGCCATGATTAGGGACTGTGATGTGGTATGCTGCAGCATGCATGCACAGTGATCATTGAACAATCAACCCTGTGTGGATTTATGGATATCTTAACCTGTTGAATTGTTAGTGTGGGCACGAAAATGAACAAGAGAACTCCAATTGAAGTAGTATCTAGGCTCGAGGGGGGTATAGTAATATCACGCCCTCAAGGGGGGGTTATAGTGGAAACCTGCCAAAATAAGAGACCCATCCCCGTATTACAAACCCAAGGGTCTTGCTCTCCGGGGGGTCTTATATTCGGGAGAATACGGTAATTGCAGCTACGTCTACTGTGAAGGTCATATCTAGTTCAATTATACTAATGTGATGGTAATGATTTTTTTGACAACTAGGTCGTTTCTATGATTCACTATGGTGTGTTTCACTACCGTATAATATGCGCATAATATGACGAGATGGATATAATAATTGGTGAATATAGTTGAATTAGAATCATATCATATGAAATATTATATTGTAAGATATGATATGATAAATGATAAATGCATGCCTTATGTTTGATATGATATAATGATAGAGATGCGCAAAACCTAACGACCCAAAAGCTGTGCTACCGCATCCCCTGCCTAGCATGGGGGGAGCTAATAGCATTCACATGAAACAACACAATCTGTAAACTCCAAAAAGATGGTCAACCCTGTCAAGAATGAAAGTGTTGGTTTGACTAAGGTTGGTTGGGGTACATAAACCTAACCCTAACAGTTGTACCCCCTATAATACACCTTACTAAGACTACACTATTTGACACACCCCCATAGTCTAAGTGAGGGGTGTCAAGAAAAGCCGAAAGTGTACGGTCACAAGACCGGTCAAAAAGAAACAAAGCTCAGGGTGGATCACAACGTCACCACACACTCCGAGCACAAGCAAAAGAGCCACAAGGCTAGTTCAAGAGTTCACAGACATATATATAAAGTGTACAAACAAAGCAAGGAGAGAACTCACGACTATGCAAGGCGAGAACCTGTGTCAACGAGACCTAACTGCACACAACACCTTTGGTGGTCACAAGGCGGCAAGGCCTTGGTGAAGTTGTCTACGGTGTTGGCCTCGGACTCAACAAAGTCAAAGCGAGCATGTCTACACCTCTCCAACTCTCGCAGAAGAAAGTACCTGACGTTAATGTGCTTCACTCTGCTCTCCAGTCGCGGCTCTCGACAGAGGAGAATCGTCGCCTTGTTGTCAGAGAACAAGGTCGGTGCAGAGCTCGGCCGCTCACCAAGGTCAGTGAGCAAAAACGCCAGCCAGCGCAGCTCCTGTGCCGCCATGGCTCCAGCGTAGATCTCAGCCTCAGCTGTAGAGGTCGAGACCGAGGAGGAATGTGCGGACCTTCACGAAACAGCTCCAGAGCCCAGGCTGAAGCAGTACCCCTAAGTAGACCTGTGAGTCTCAGCGTCGTCAGCGTAAGAAGAGTCACAGTGACCAGTAAGCACGACGTCCTGTTTCCCTCCAAGAACCAGCCCCACGCCTGATGTCGTCGCAACCACCCTTACAGCAGCTGTCCAGTGAACTGGACGATGTTTCTCTGGCGCAACAAAGCGAGCAACGATGCTGAGAAGGAAGGCTAGGTCCGGGCGAGTACCTACATGAGGCAGCCCACAAGCTCTGTGTAGGGACCACTAGGCTCAAACAGCTTGTCAGGAAAGGGTCCATTGAGTCTGTGGTCAATGGTAAGAGGTGTGCGCTGTACTATGGAGTGTTGAAGCTCGAACGTTAAAGGACCTGCTGCACCATGTGTGACTGTGAGAGTGTAATGGTGCGAGCAGCTCTGTCCCTGGTGATCTGCAGGCCAAGGTAGTGGTGCAGCTCACCAAGGTCAGTGCACGTGTGTCTCTTCTGCAGTTCGCGCTTCACGTCAGCCAAAGCAACCCTGTCAGCAGTGGCAAAAACCAGGTCATCGACGTAGACCAATACAAAGAACGGGTGTGGAGCTAGGACGAACGAACAGCGACGGGTCAGCAGAAGACGTCTCAAAACCGAGGTCAGACAGGGTAGAACGAAGGGTGTCGTGCTAGTCGCGACGAGCCTGCCGGAGGCCGTAGACCGGTCATCTGAGCCTCCACTGGGTCCCAGGAGGGAAAGTGCCAGTGAAGGCAGAGGGACGACGCAACCAGACCTCCTCGTGTAGGCTACCCTGAAGGAAAGCAGTAGAAAAGTGAAGGAAATGTAGCTCGTAATCTCTCGTGCTGCTACGTGCAGTAATACATGAAGAGTAGTCATCTTCGGGGTAGGCGCGAAGGTCTGAAAGAAGTCAACTCCCTCGTGCTGACTGAAACCTCTAGCCACATAGCGCGCCTTGAAGACTGGAGGAGATCCCGGTGGCCGCTTCACCCTGAAGATCCACATGCCATCGACTACGTTCGCCCCAGGGGGGAAAACCTTGTCGACGTAGGTGCCTGTGGATCTGTAGGAGGCCATCTCTGAGTCCATGGCAGCTCTCCACTGAGAGGCCCAAGGCCTTGACACTGCCTCAGCGTAAGTGCGAGGAGTCGGTATGTCAAGGGCGTCGGGGTCTCCCTCAAGCCGAACAGCATGGCACAGAGATGCGGGGAAGCAGCTGGCAGGAACTTCAGCTCAAACTGCCTGTCCTCTAGGGCGTCACAGCCAAGGGCAGACTCACCCTCGACGGCCAGAGGACTGGTAGGAGGAGCAGCCACAAGACTGGTAGCCTAGTCAAGGCGGCGAGTAGAGGCAAACGCAGTGACAGCGGCGGTAAGGGCGGAGACAGAGGACAGGGATGCACGAGGGTTGGTAACAAGAGAGGCGAGAACACGAGAGAGAATAGGACGGTACGTATGGTCATATTCAGTGACAGGAGTAGAGAGGGAAGCAGTGAGAGGGGACTCAGGAGGAGAAGGAAGCACAGACGGAGACGAACGAGGTGGACTAGAATGAAGCAAGGCAGTACGAAGGTCAGTGAAGGGAACAGGAGATGAGGGACAAGCACGAGGAGAGCAACGAGAAGGGGAGGGATCAAGAGGAGGAAGCCGAGGCCCAGAGACGGGAGGAGAGGAAGAGGGGAGACCGAGGGCCCGAAGACCAGAGACAGGAGGAGGAGGTGTGGGCTGCTGCTGCGGCTGCTGCAACTCTAGCTGCTGCTGCTGCTGCTCCTCCGGCTGCGGCTGCGGCTGCTGCTGCGGCTCCAGCTGCAATTGTTGCTGCTGTCGCTGCTGCTGCTCCTCCAACCGCTGTAGCTCAAGCTGCTGCCGCTCCACCTCTCTCTCCTCACGCTCCAACTCCAACTGCTCCTCACGGGCACGACGAACACGGGCCTGGTGCCGGGTCGGGTAGGGGTGGGGGGGAGGAGTAGTGTCTGGAGCGGTGGTACCCCCGGGACTGCTCTCCAAAGCACCAGTCGCACCACCCCCAGAGCCAGCACCACCAGAAGTAACAGGGTCTGTCCCAGACTCTCCAGGGCCAGCAGAGGGTGCACCCCCAGTTGTAGCACCCCCAGGGACAACTCCACTAACACCAGCTCCCCGAAGACTAGAGTCTCCTGCAGGCACGGCTCAGCTCCAACTCCAGCACCCCCAGAACCAGGACCACGCTCAGGTACACTCTCTGCTCCAAATCCAACACCTCTAGAGCTAGCACCTCCAGGATCCTCGCCACGAAAACTAGCTCCCGCAGGGTCTGCTGTAGAATGGGAGGAGGACTGCGGGGAAGGAGGCTGCACCTGAGGGGCTACCAAAAGGGGAGGGTTAGCGTAGGACACACTTGACAGGGGGGGAGGCTGTACCGGGGGAGCAGGAGGGGGAGCGGAAGTCAGGAAGAGAGGGGGAGGAGGAACCGGGAGACCTCGACAGGGGTACCTGACGTAGTAGGTGACGGACGCGTCGAAATGGACGTCACGAGAGTAAAAGAACCGGTGAAGGGGATGGTAAAATGTGAGAAAAGAGGAGTCCTCAGGGAAACCAAGGAGAACACAGGGAACAGCCCGAGGCGAGATCTTGTCCGCGGAGGTGTCGCGAACAAGTGTCAAGCAACTCCCGACACGAAAACGCGACGCAGCACCAGGGGACCCGGTCCAAAGACTGGTCGGTGAAACCTCTGGCCGAGAGACACGTGGCCAGAGGTTTAGCTGGTGAGTGGCGTTTCGAACCACAAAGGCAAAAAAAAATGGGGGGCACGAGTGTGAGTCATGGAGGTGCGGCGCGCAACAACCCCATTCCGCTGTGGGGACTCTGGAAGCATCCAGGACTGACGGTTGCCCTGCTCGCGACAGATTCCAGCAAGTATGCTGGGGCGAAACTCACCCCCACGGTCGGAGTGAAGACAGCTGACACGACGACCACGAGTGTCCGCAGTGGTAAGTAACCACCGGATCAGCGTAGAAGTCACGTCGGACTTCTTCGCCAAGGGGAACACTGTGGTGTAGCGGGAGTAGTCGTGAACGACCACAAGAGTGAAACTCTCTCGCTCAAGGCCAGACGAAGGGAGGAGGAGTGAGGGGTGGCACGCAGCTTACCCTCGACGCAGGGACCGCAGGATGGGGCAAGCGAAGGCGATAGCGACGGCAAGACTCGTGGAAGGCCTAAGACAAGACGCTGAGTAGACATAGTGCGCAGACGAGGAATGGACGGGTGCCCCATCCGGTGGTGCCACAGGACGGTGGGGTGGGCAAGGGACCGGCAGGAGCAAGACGCAGCAACTGGACCAGACACTGCTACCTGGGGAGACGCGGGAACCGACGGGGGGTAGTGACAAGGGTCGGGGGCAGTATCTGCTGTTGCTGCTGCTGCTGCCGCCGCCGCCGCCGCTGCCGCTGCTGCTGCTGCTGCTGCTGCCGCCGCTGCTGCTGCTGCCGCTGCTGCTGCTGCTGCCGCTGCTGCTGCTGCTGCTGCTGCTGCTGCTGCTGCTGCTGCTGCTGCTACTACTGCTGCTGCTGCTGCTGCTGCTGCTGCTGCTGCTGCTGCTGCTGCTGCTGCTGCTGCTGCTGCTGCTGCTGCTGCTGCTGCTGCTGCTGCTGCTGCTGCTGCTGCTGCTGCTGCTGCTGCTGCTGCTATGGCTGCTGCTGCTGCTGCAGCTGCTGCCCTCGAGGGCCAGTGTGAAGTGTGTAGAGACCAGAGCCTGGCTCAGCGGTAAAGGTTGCCAGAGGCGCATACGTGCCTCCGTCGACACAAACCGCAGTCTTGCTAGAAGGTTCAATCCACACACCCAAGTGCTGACTCACGAGTGGCCTCACACCCACCAAGTTCCTCGAGAACGAGGGGACGTGGAAGCCGGTCAGAGAACCGGAGGGAACAGCCGGACACCGAAGCGTAGTAGTGTAGCGAGCAGTGACTGGTCCCAAAGTGGGATCAGCCAGTGCCACGGAGACCGGTGTAGCAAGCGGGGTAAGTGTCTTGTGGTCGCAAAAGAAACAGTGCGAAGCTCTGGATTCCAAAATGAAAGACAGCAAAGCGTCCTCTGGAGCAACTCCTGGACTGCTGTCTACACAAGTACCTACACTAGCAACAGGGATCTCATCAAGACTAGCACCTAAGCTAACAACACTCGAGTAAACAGAGTCAGAAGCACTAGAATCAACAACAGCATACATAGCATGAGGAGTTCCTAAGAGATCAACCAACTGAGAAGCCGACATGCCCCACAGAGCGGGGCCGTACATCTGAACAAGGGGAAGCCAGTCAAGGGCAGGGCCGTCAACGCCATAGGTTAACCGAACCGTGTCAGTGAGCTGAGCAAAGCACTGACCCGGTGGGTGGCTGCGGCCCCAAGGCTGGCCTCGGCGGGCACATTGGAACGTGATAGGTGCAGGGAGGGTGGACGGCGATACGCGACAGCTGATGCGGTCCTGACCTCTGCCCAAAAGCCTTCTGCTGCCTCTGCTGCTGCTGTGGCTGCTGCGAGGGGAGTGGCTGCTGCTGATGCCGCTGCTGCCGCTGAGTCAGGTACCAAGCCGCCACTCCAGCACCTGCAGCTGGCGGACCAGTAGGTGCCTGACGAACCCGAGCGTCACCTCCACCAGCTGCTGCAGGGGAGTCACCAGCCGCAGCACGAGGCGCTCCTCCACCCTCGGTACTCCCGCCACCGGCGCTCGCCACACCACCTCCGCTACCTCGACCACCTCCGGCAGCACCCTGACCGCCCCTCCTGCCTCTCCTACCCCTAGACCGAGAAGAAGACGTAACAGCAGCTGCGGTCACGTTAGTAACGGCAGCGGCAAGGGAGGTAGTGAAGGTAGGCAGCTGAGGGACAGTGTACCCGTGAAAAAGTGGAGGGGGCACAGCACCAGACGTGGAGGCAACCGAGCGGAGGTTGCTCTCGACGTCCTTGAGGGCAGACTCAAGGACGTCGATAGTGAGCTCGCTAGGGTGCTTCAGAAGAAGCGCGTCACGAACCGAGGCAAGGCGGTCAGGGAGGCTAGTGGCGATGAAATAGATAGTAATCGCCATAGGGGGAGGGAGCAGTGCAAGCTGTTCGTCAGTGCAAGCAGCTCGGAAGCTGGAATCGAGCGAGCGCAGGTGGGTGATCAAGTCAGCAGAGCACTCAAACGAGGCGAGTTCAGGAAACAGGAATGGGAGGAATTGACGACCAAGAGAGACAGTGGTGGGAGTAGCGTAGCGGGCCTTGATCGCAGTCAGGAACTCACTAGCCGTGCGAACCTGAGTGAAGTGGGTCTCCTCAGACTCAGGGAGGAGGATGTTAAGGGCGATGCAGGCCGCAGCATCACGCGACGTCCACGCTGTAAGGTCAGCACGCTGGCGGGCAGAACGGTCTCTGTCGGCAGAGCTAGCGTCACCGCCTGTGAGAGTACGACGGCTTATGCCAGCCATGCATGCTTGCTTTTACTTTATTACGCCATTTCTAGTTTAGGTTTATTTTATGCCTACATGAATTGCTTCATATCCTAGGCTAGGTGCTTTTCTATATTTTATTATAGTTATAGCACCGAGCTAGGTTGCGTACACCGAATTCTGGGCTATTCGGTTGCCACCGAATTGCCTTCTACCGAATTCGGGAAGGGTCTGTTCGGGACGCTTCGCGACCCTCGAAACCTTCGCGTAACACTTGGTAATCAGAGCCTGTTTACATGCGACAGTTTTTCGACCGCTAAAACCGAGTCTTCAAAAACCGCGGGGGCGACGCCTGTTAAACACCGATTTCGGGTACGTAAAACCGGTTCCGTGTTTTTCACTCCCCCTCGTTTCGGTTTTTTGAATGCGCATGTCGGGCATGGAGGGCCAGGGCGACAACTACGCAACGACGAGCGACATCGCCAGCCTCCGCACCGACGTGGAACAGGTGCAGGCTGCGATTCGGCGAATCGAAGCCCTCATGACACACCTCCGCAGCAGCAGCGAACGTAGCAGCGACGGCAGCAGCAGCAGTGGCGACACCGACATTTCACGGACCGATGGCACCACCGTCGCCGAACCTCGAAGCAGCTCGCCCGAGGCTCCCCGAAGCGTTCGATCCCAGCGCGAAAGGATCTGATGTTCGACGATTCGTGGCGACCCTCGAAATTTATTTCGAGGCCATTGGCTGTTCGACCCCGACACACGACGCAGCACGAATTCGGCTCGCAGCGACACTGTCGTGGCCCGCGGGGAGAAAACGTAGGCGCAGTTCCAGGCAGACCTCATCAAACGTTTCGAGCCAATTAATATGACCTATATGGCGCGGCAGCAGATACACCGGCACATGTCAAGATAACCGGTAGTCTTAGGAGCCATAGCTAGGAGAGTCCTAGCTAGGCAAGAGAGTTTAGGCGAAAGAGGAGGGTTGCACTAGCAAGAATGGGGATACAAATAGCAAACCCTAGAAGGGTTGTACTCGCTACAGAGCACCCCACTACAGGCTAGAGCATATTATTCTGACAGCACAAACAGTACAATAGTATAGCATAGTACACGCAGCAGATGGAGCTACTGTTCAACCGCATTACTGACCTGACCGAAGGCGAAAAAATCCAGGCGTACACAGAAGGGTTAAAATTGGAGATTCGCCGACAAGTAAGTGCAGCAAACTACAGTAGTTATCGCCACATCATGCGTGCTGCCGAGCGATACGACGCATTGACTCGAGGTCAACTTGAAACACAACGTTTCGGGCCGAACCATACATTCACCACGGAGCGATCGGCACCCCCCACGTTCGCCGAACCGATGGATATCGACAAGTTTGACGCGAAGCAGCAACCGACAAAATGCAAATTTTGCGGCTTAGCAGGGCATCAAATCTTGTCGTGCTACAAAATGAAGAAAGCACGTGCGGCAATGCTGGGTAGCAACAGTGGAGCACCCCCGAAGAAAAACAAACGGGAATCGCCAGTAGCCGCGGATCGACCTGGCGATCGCGTAAAGATCCAAAAGGCAGAAAAGGGCGACGACGTGGCGACTTCGAAGCGGGTGAAAAAAGGAGACAATGATGACCAGGTGTTACGTGAAGGTTCCGAGGGTCGCGAAGCGTCCCGAACAGACCCTTCTCGAATTCGGTAGAAGGCAATTCGGTGGCAACCGAAAAGCCCAGAATTCGGTGTACGCAACCTAGCTCGGTGCTATAACTATAATAAAATATAGGAAAACACATAGCCTAGGAAATCAAGCAATTCATGCATGCACAAAATTATCCTATGCTAGAAATAGCATAATTAAGTAAAAAGCAAGCAAGCATAGCTGGCATAAGCCGTCGTACTCTTACAGGCAGTGCCTCAGTGTCAGCAGTGGCAAAAACCAAGTCGTACACGAGAATGTAGAACGGCGGCAGCGAAGTGTCGGTGCGCAGAAACAGCGACGGGTCAGCAGTCGAAGGAGCAAACCTAAGAGCCGCAAGTGTCGTCCTCAGTGTGTCGTGCCACTCGCGAGGCGCCTGGCGGAGACCGTAGACTGGCCGCCGGAGGCTCCACTGGGTACCTACAGGAAACGACCCAGTGAAGCCAAGTGGGCGGCGCAGCCAGATCTCCTCGTGCAGGCTGCCCTGTAAAAAAGCAGTGCTGAAGTCAAGAGAGTGAAGCTCGTAGTCACGTTGAGCGGCAACGTGCAGCAGCACCCGAAGAGTGGCCATCTTCGGGGTAGGGGAGAAGGTCTGGAAGAAGTAAACTCTCTGTCGCTGAATAAAGCCTCGTTCAGCGTAACGAGCCTTGAAGACAGGCGGAAAACCCGGCGGCCGCTTCACCCTGAAGATCCACATGCCATCGACTATGTTCGCCCCAGGAGGGGGAACTGCGTCGACGTAAGTGTCTGTGGACTTCCAGGATGCCATCTCTGCGCACATGGCTGTCTGCCACTGAGTGGAGTACGGACCCATAATCACCTCTGCGTAAGAGCGCGCGATCAGGATGTCTGGTGCATCCGGGTCTCCCTCAGGTGCAAGCAGCATGGCCATGAGATGACGTAAAGCAGCTGCAAGACACTCAAAGTCCTCCTGCCTGTCCTCAAGGACGTCCGTGCCGAGAGCACACTCACCCCCGACGGACGGAGGACAGACAGTCTCAGACTCAGCAACAAGACTAGCGGCGTAGTCGAGACGACACGCAGCAGCAAAGTCAACAAGCTCAACAACTAAGGCAGCCGTAGCAGTAGACTCAAACGAAGGGTCAGTGACAACAGTGGCTAGGAGACACGTGATAGTAGGGCTGGCAGCATGAATAAAGTCAAACTCAGGGTCCGGAACGTGCGGAAGAGAGGACGCAGGAGGAGACGGCAGGGGGACACGCTGTGGAACAGAGGAAGGACGAAGTGTCATAGTGTGAGTGCCGGGGACAGGAGGAGGATGTGGGCAAGGAACATGGTGACCAGTGCAAACAACACGAACAGGGGGGGCAGTACGAGTCGCAGGCTCATGACGCTCTGTAAGAGAGTCCGCCTGCTCAGTGTAAGGAGAAGGAGCAGGCGTTGGGGAGTCTGGCTGTAACTGTTGCTTCGACTGGTCAGGCGGTGGTCACAGTAAGGGAGGAGTAATGTGAGAGTACGACGGCTTTGCTGTGATTTACTAGCTTGATTCTGCTTTATGCATCATCTAGCTTAGTTTTTTTTTTGCTTTGCTTGCTTTTGCTAGATTTCCTAGGTCCGTTGCCTTTACTATATTATATTAGTTATAGGCACCGAACTAGGTTGAGTGCACCGGATTCTTGGCTTTTCGGTTGCCACCGAATTGCCTTTTACCGAATTCGGGACGCTTCGCGACCCGCGGAACCTTCTAGTAACACCAGGGTTACTGCCTTTGTGTCAAGCCTATATATAGCCTCGCCTTGTACCCAGGTGAATCATTCAATAGATTTATCTTTCCTGAACCAGATCCTCACAAGTAAGACCAGTAGAAGACGGGAGGCTAAGAACCTGGCGAAGCACGGAGTCAGGCGGTGGCAGAGACGACGGTGATGGCGGAGCGAAGAACAGTCGCCGCTGTGCAGTACCACCAGCACCAACACCGCCAGTGCCTCTAGCACTAGTACCTACGGCTCCAACGTCTCCAGCACTGGTACCTCCAGCTCAAGCGCCTCAAGCACTAGTACCTCCAGCACCAGCACCTCCAGCACGAGTACCACCAGCTCCAGCGCCTCCAGCACCAGCACCTCCAGCACCAGTACCACTAGCTCCAGCGCCTCCAGCACCAGCACCTCCAGCACCAGTACCACTAGTAGCAGGGCCTACAGTGCCAGCAGCGCCACTCCGAAGGCGGGTGCGCCGAGCAAACTACTCGTGCAGCTG